TAAATAATGCTTAGATAAAGTAGACAATATTTAAGTTATAATTTAGAAAATCTAAATTACATAACATGAAAATTACCAAGAAACCCATTCTCTAATACTATTACAAACTTTGATTTCCAATTATCATTGATCTAAATAATTTTTTAAGTCAAATTGCTAACCTTAAGAGGTCTATATCAAATTATTAGTAATATATAACTTGAGATTTTATATAAAGTTAAATAATTATATATATTTTTTTGCGTGAGTTTCATGTATTCTAATAAATTTTAAATATTATTATATCGTATTATAAAAAAAAATTAATGTAAGCTAGAGTGTGATAAATTTTAATTAGGTATTACATAAATACAAATGAATTCTTAGATCAATTCAAATATTTTTTATAAAAAAAATTAGTTCAAATATTTAAATTATCGTGACTAATTCAACTATTATAATATATTTTAAAGTTTAAATAATATTTATAATGTTGACATATAAATTATTTTAATAATTTTGTTTTTTTTTGGTTCCTAAGAGAAAAAAGATATTTTTGTTTTTGATTCTTGCTGCTGCTGATTGACCCGCGCGGGCAGCTGTACGTACGTGTCCTAAAAGATACCAAAAGTCCAAAACTTCGTAGTTTCTGACTCATCGTCGTTTCATACCGAAAACTGCCCTGGGTGAGACACACAACTTTGGGAATTCCATTTTCTTCTTTATTTTTTTTCCCTAAAAAAAAAAAAAAATCTGTGTCTGGGCAATAATTAATAATCCCATTTAACAATCAAAATTTGTCTTTTTATCAATTAGGGTTCGAGATTTAGATTCGATCATATCACACTACAATCGAGATGTTCACAACCCCAAAGCTTGAAACAAATTGAAATTATATTATTTTAACTTCTTCGTTAGGGTTTCGACTAGCCCTACTGTTTATGTTTATCCCCGTTTTAGACTCGAAGGATTCTGCTTTACCAACGATTTCTTTATTCCGTCGAAATTTGAAGTTTGCTTTTACCTCCATTCGGTGAGTTTCTGCTCATGATAATGAGAAATTAGGGTTTTCCGGTATAATTTCATAACACATGCATTATGTACTAATGCATGTTTTTATCTTCCTGTCTCTAGTGAAAATGATGCCTAATTTCTCTAAGTTTGAAAAATTTTGCTGTGTCTGTTACTAAAAAGAATAGCACATTTCGGTGTTAATTTTTAATTTTATTTCGTTATTTCTTGTTCTGATTATCTTATGATTATCTTCTCAAAAAAAATTTATTTTGTGAATTGTGTTTGGTCGACATGTCGCCCTGGCGAATTTGTTTTGCAGTTATCAAAATAAGAAAGGAATAGTGGATTGATGTGAGAAATTTTTGTCTTTCTTGGTGGGAATTTTCTTACAATTGTTTTTACAACATTCGTGGTGAATGTTTACACCGGGTATGGATTCTGCGCGGGAAACTGGCATAGTTGAAGCTGACACAGTGCTAATCCCAACACTGTTCGTATGGCCGCATGGTGGAAGAGTTGTGTACCTAAGTGGCTCCTTCACCAGGTTAGTCCAAAGGTTTTAGTATATTGTTTTCGAAGGAGACTTGAACCGCATGTTTGTTGGTTCCTTGATCTTTGCAATAATTTTGGGTGGTTGTTTTCATGAAGGTGGTCTCAGCTGGTTCCAATGTCTCAGGTTGAAGGATACCCTGCTGTATTTCAGGTTATCTGGAATGTAACTCCTGGTCTACACCAGGTCAGTTTTGTCATACTACTAATACTGAAATCTGTTGAATGTTTAATCTAATAGGTCAGAGTGATTCATGTATATGAAAGTAACTGTTAAACGTTACAAATATTAACTTGCCTTAGTCCACCATTCAAGGGGATGGGGTTGGTTATATCGAATGTTATTAAAACATTGTCAATGGAAATAACAATTGTCTCTTGAGCAAGTCATGGCAACACAGATGAGGGATTGATTCCTGCAAGGCAGAGATAACACATTGAGGTATAAGTTAGAAGATATGGTCAATCATTTATGGTTAACAGTGAAGAGAGGTTTCGTTTAGGACGAAAGAACATATGCAAGAATTATGCATGGTTTTGGGGAGAAACCCGTTACTGTTTTTTATTCTTAAGAAGACTCAATTTATGGGTTTGAAGTATTTCAGCATGGTTATATTCATTTAAACCTTAAATTTTAGAAGTTTCTTGTAGTGCCCATAGCTAGAGACTTTTTTATCAATTTGGTGCATCACCTTGGGACCCACAGTAAACATAAGTCAGAGATAGAGTTGACGTTGACTCCAAATTGCAAACCAGTAGCAAATTTGACTTCAACTACAAAACTGGTTTCTGGATAGGATTTTAGTATTCTAGTCGGATGGGGCTTCTTTTCCTTCAAATTATTGTTTTTGTTAGATGGTGTAGAGTTAGAACTCGAGCTCAAGTCATCTACTCCATAAAGATAATGTCTTACCATTGAAGTTACATGTACTTGACATTCTTCCAATTGTTGTTGATGTAAGACTATTAATGGTTAATATTTTTGGAGTTTGTAAGGGAAGTATTTTGGATCCTAGGATGTAGGACCATTAGCTCCCAAAATCAGTTTACATCAGTGAATAAAATCATCTGATAGTTCAACTCAAAATTAGTGTTTGTCCAGAGGGCAAAGGTTCTCTCTTATTAAACCAACCATATGCCTTTAGCTTTAGGTGTTGAGGGATAAACAAGAAGACCAGGTTCTCAACATCTCAGAATCAAAAGAAAAGGTGTTTCCAGGGTCTTAGCTCAGGTGAGCAAGTTTTGCACTTACTAGAAAACTTTAACATTAGTAGACCTTTGACCTGATCCTAGTCATAGGATCATAACAAAATGATATCTAAGAGAAGAGATCATAGGGGATTTCAAAAATTCTAGCAACAATTAGAGACTTCCTCAAAACATGCATGGAGGACTTGGTGTGGGTGGAGGACCAACAATAGGAACTAACAAAAAAAATAGATGCTCCAACGAGCTTTTGGCTACTAAGTTTCATGGGACAGAAGTCAGTAGGAAAATCATTATGATGAGCAACCAATGGATGTGGTGAAAAGGTTCCAAATGCGACGGAATGGTTCCCCTCTTTGCAAAAATGGACTTCCCAATCTTCGATGGGAATACAGATTGCTAAGCTAGGTGAACCACGGTGAGCATCTTTTTTTCAACACCAATGCACAAGATATGAGGATATAACATATCGCTTGCTTCCTTTCTTTAAAAGGAGGTGATAAGTTATGGTTCCTTCAACTAGAACGAGATCAACTTGACATCTATTGGATTACTTTAGATCCCAATGCAACCATTCTTCGGACCTCTTATTTGCAACAAGAAGTTGGGTGATTTGGTCAAGCTATGTTAGCACAATAAAGCACAAAGAGTACTTGAAATATTTTGAACAATTGATGACATGCACCTTGTCTCTCACAATTGAACATGAGGTGGAGATTTTTTAAGGAGTCTGCAAAATTATATTGCTTTTGAGATGAAATTACTGTGACCACTAGACCTTATTGCAAAAATAAATTTGGCATGACTTTATGTGCGGAGGTGAGAGCTTCAACAACCAAAACATATCTCCACAACTAGGCAGTTGATACCATCAGTGCCATCCAAACCTTAATTTTCCTAGAGACATAATTGTGTCGAGATGCCAGAGAGAAGACAAAAGGGTTGTGCTTGAATTTGATGAGCCCTTAGTGCTTGGTAAACCTGAAAAAAAAATATTTTTTTGTTGGAGCTTATGAGAATTCACAAGAGGAGGACATCCATGACTTGTTCAAGCTTGAAATCCCCATTCACGCCATTATTTGGATGCTCACCGATCAAACTTTAAAGTTAAAGCTTTAATCAATTTTATGCCTTTATTTGTCTTTATTGATATAGGAAGTACTGACTACTTTTTCTAGAGTAGGAAATATGGATTACATCATATAATGTTATGCCTTATCTGGAGTTTTGAGTTGCACACTGACGGTTGGTGATCTAAGTTGGGTAGAGGTGCTCTTGGTCAGAGTTTGTGGAGATGGACTGGCACTTTGCTCTCGAGGGTATTTGGTTACTAGTATAAGATGTTGGCATAATTCATTGTGCTAAAGACTCATTCTCCTTTATTTTCTCAGTTGCGAGGTTCAAGGATGCTGAACTGAGGGATTGTTTTATGGTGTACAATGGTGGAATATAGTGGAATATTCACCTTCTTTAAAATTTGGATGACTAAAAGATGGGTGATTGGGCGAATCTGTTATTTATTTAGATTCTAATCCAATTTATTTTGATTGGGTCAACCTGCCGGTTTGGATACACACAAAAGACAGTAGATCCATGATTAAATTCTGCGACAGCCTTATAAATATGTGCAATGCTGTGCTGGATTAGAATCTAATTTTGATAGGGTCAACAAAGGCTACCCCAGGATTGCTTTTTTACTTGAGAAACAACTTGGGCATAATTTTAACTTTTGACAATCTCATGTGGTTATATCATCTGGTGCTTTCTACATCTTAATGACTCAGTCTGCCTGTCCATTTCCTTCTATGGTGCTTGGAAGTTAGAAAGCTTCAAGATTCTACTATTAATCTTCTCAATATGTTTTGGATTGTTAGTTCCTCGGTTAAGGATGAACTATGGGCCATACCCAAAAGAAGTTTCTATTTCGCATTATTACCATTTATGGGTCATATGGAAGGAGAGGAATCAAATCGTTTTTGGTCACTCTTCTATCTCTTTTGTTTCCGTTAAGGATTGTTGTTCAAAATTCTCAATCTCATCTATAGGAACCTACTTTTATTGGATGATTCAAATGCTATTGGCCTTTCAGACAACTTTTATTTGTGATTGTTGCAGTTCATTGGTGCCTTATACTTGTTCTTTTGAAAAAAAATGTATGCCTCTATTGACTAAATGGATTTGATTTCTAATAAGAACTTAATTGTCCTCCGTCCAAAATCTCACTACCAAACTAGCCTTCCCTCGACCTTGAGCCATCAATTGTCCAATCTAAAAGGAACTAGTCTTCTCCACCAAACTTCTAAAACCCTCTACCTTGAGCCATCTATTGTACAACCTAAAAGGAACTAGACACCATTGAATCCCGTCAACCATGATAGATATAGGGAAGTGATCATAGATTGTTTTTTGTGAAACTTTCTGACATATACCTGAAAAATCAAGAAAAAGCTCGCTAGATATTAAAAAACAATTGATCCTCGAGCAAGCAGGAGGATCCCTTCCTTTTGTCCAGATCCATCTCCCTCCTATCAATGATAAGTCCACCAACTCCAAATAATCAATTTCTTCCCTAAATTCCTCTGCACTTCTTCTAGAAAATTGCTCCCCCGATTCCTCTCTCCGCCTTAACACCATATTGAAGTCACCCCCACAACCCATTTACCTCCCCATTTGTTCTTACACCCCTTCAACTCTCTCCATAACTCACTTATTTCCTCCCTCAATCCCCTACAGTATACCCTAGTGAATACCCATTGAAACCCACAACACTCAAGCAAGTAAGAAATAGAACAATCTTCCTTAACCACATCCTTGCAAGAAAACCGATTCTCTCTCCAAGCCACCACAACACCACCTGCAGATGCAGGATCATAGTATTGCTGCAACTTGATATGTATCTGGAGAAGCTCTTTTGTATAAATAGACATGCAATGTTTGACCTTGATTCTGAATTCTGATGTTTTTATGTCTTCCATGCAGTACAAGTTTCTTGTTGATGGAGAATGGCGGCATGACGAGCATCGACCTTTCGAAAATAGTGAATATGGAACAGTGAACACTATCCGTTTGTCTGCAGAGGCTAATTATGATATACGTCCTGAGACTCCTTCTGGCATGGATTTGGATACCAAGGCCTTTAGTGATACTGATACCAAGGCATTCAGTGATATGGTAAGAGTTTATCAATGCTGGAAATTGGTATTCTGTCCTGGAGATTTTGTATTCTTTTATGTATTTGACTCTTTGTAGTTTTAAGGAATTAGTATATCCAAATTTGTGTTTTTCTATTATGGTCAGATCAAGGAGAGATGGATTTAGGAAGTAGGATAGGATTCTGGTTCTATTTGATCCTATGAGTCATTATTTTTAGGACTCTAGTCTTAAACTTTTTAGTTGAATATGGTAAACTGCATTTCTGTTACAAGACTCGAGCCTGCCTAAGCCTAACCTTCTACAGATTTGGTGCTTATTACATGTCAGTAAGCAATAATTCTCATATATGCACTGAGTTATTAATTCATTCGTTTTACCTTAGCTATCCTTTTCCTTCCTTACGAGCTATGTAAGTGGTCTGCTTCCTGATTTGGTGCTCATTACATGTCAGTATGCAAGTCATTCTCATATATGCATTGAGTTATTAATTCATTCGTTTTACCTTGGCTATCCTTTTCCTTCCTTGTGAGCTATGTAAGTGGTCTGCTTCCTGATTTCTGATGCAGGTTCGGATTTCTGAAGGTACATCATCTCCCCTGGTACCAGGGATATCAGAGGAGGACCTCCGTGTTTCTCGTCACCGTATTTCTCTATTCTTGTCAACCCACAATGTTTATGAATTATTTCCAGAGTCAGGCAAGGTTTGGTTCTCTCATATTGGAGTTGTCTGTCTGATCCTGCTTACTGGATTAGTTGAGCGTTTTCTAATTTAGATAGATATAGCTTACAGGTTGTTGCTTTGGATATTGATTTACCTGTGAAGCAAGCGTTTCATATACTGTACGAACAGGTAGTGATTTTAGCTTCTTTTATGGTTTAATTTTTTTTTGGAGTGCCACATCGACTTAATCCTTTTTATGCAATGATTATAACATTGAGTTGATTTACTTATGTTTCATGTAGCATGTTTCCAATTATTTCTGTGAAGGCTAACTTATATCATGCTAAATTGCAATTTCTAGGAGGAAAAATTGCAAATTTTAGATTTTGCATTTAGTGATTCTTTATATATAGTGATATTATCGAAAAACTTCCCTTTATTTTATCAACTGTATCAAATTGGTATCTGATAATTTATTTCAATTAAATAGTAGCTTGTATTTTTAATATGTATCAAATTGATGCTTCAGAAAAACGATTAACTTAAATTGATTTGTTTCTGTTGTTGGACAAAATAGTTTTTTCTTTGTTCCTTTTTTCTTTCTTCCCATCACCATATCTCACCTACTCTGCACTTCTTCTTGTTTTGTTTTTCTCTTCCTAATTTCTACTTCTTCATTCTTGTCTTAGCTGAGACATTTAGCTTTTTTTTTTTTCTTTTCTTCCTTCACTTGATTAGTTTGTCTTCATAATTTCTATATTATTTTGCCATAAATTAATTAACAAGCAATATATGTGTTCTCTTCTCAATGCAAATCTTTTTTAAAAAATGAAAGGGACCTTGCTAATTAAATATAACAAAGAATAATATAGGAATAATGAAAATAAACTGATCAAGTGGAGGAAGCCAAAAGATTCAAGTCTTGGCGAAGGCAAGAACGGAGAATAAGAAATTGGGGGGAGAAGAAAAAAAAACAAGTATATAGAATGTGAGGTATGTTTTGACAAACGAGGAAGTGAACAAGGGAAAAAAGATATTTCTGTCCTTTAACAGAAAAAAATGTTAAAAATCAGAAGATACTTTTGTTTAAAGTGCCAATTTGATACATTTTGACATTATAAGTTACTATTTTGTTCAAGTAAATTATTAGGTGCAAGTTTCTTAGGTGCAAATTTGATACAGTTGAGAAAATACAAAGATTTTTAGGTGATACCCCTTATAAATATAAATATATATATATATATGATTATCCTCCTGCAAGCCAAAATATTAAGAAAGTGTTATTCTGCAAATGCTGAGGACAATGCCTTAATGAGAAGAAAGTTTCTCCATACTTTGGCTTCACATTGTTTAATTTGTTTGTGACCACTCTGTTCATTAACTTTTTTTTTTTTAGATAAACCTTTCTCCTCCATTAACTTATAACTGATAAAGAGCTTGGACATCTATAGTTTCTAAGTGAACTTATTTTCAGGGTATCTCCATGGCTCCTCTTTGGGACTTCAATAAGGGGCAGTTTGTAGGGGTTCTTAGTGCGTCGGACTTTATATTAATTCTAAGAGAGGTATGAGCTTATACATGGTATTGAGTTCTTTTATAAATTAGATTATTGCTTTCTAAATTATTTCAACCAGACTATTTGCAAGGGACTGTTTTTAGTTCCTTTGTTTTTTTAAAGAAATTAGACTATTTTTGGTCAGGTCTCTATTCTCATTCTTTCTGTAGTTGTCTCAACTAATTTTTTGCTGTCAATTGTCAAATATTAAATTCCCTGAGTTACATAAGTGGAGTACTCAGCCATATGAGTCACTAATTTATGACTAAATATAAAATTAAAAATTCTCATATGATAGAAAACAAGTTCCGTATCGGTGCATTTCATATCTAAGTTCAGAGAAGTAGTACTTTTCATTTTATAGTTTGTTCAGAGAAATAATACTTTTCATTTTATAGTTTCCACAAGTATTTTGTATTTTATATGGAGATGATCTTGGTGTAGTATGTTTTTTGCAAAATCAATAATTTTTTATTCACTTTTGCAGTTTGCATTGTTATAATCTGATTGTTGGACTTTATCTTTAAGGGACTATTTGAAACCGTCTTGAAGACTGAGACTTACTCCGTGTAGAAGTCATTTCTTTCTCTATCTTTTGATATATATATATATATGTTTTCAGGATGAAGCAAAATGTTCCTGAAATATCTTTTCTTTCCTCTTTAAACTTTAACAATGTCTATTGCAGTCTAGGTCGCTTGTTCTACCTGCCAAAAGTATGTTGGATATTACAATAATTAAGCAAAATCTTTTTGCTAGGATGATTCAACTTTCTTGTTTTTGTAGAAATTTATTGTCTTTTCCTTGCAGTTTGGAAATCATGGCTCAAATCTGACAGAGGAGGAGCTTGAAACACACACCATTGCTGCATGGAAAGAAGGAAAAGCATATTTGAACAGACAAGTTGATGGGTATGGCAGGCCATTTTCCAGATGTCTCATCCATGTGAGTGATTTGTGTCAAGAATGTTTGTGTGAATATTTTACTGAATATCACATCTCTATGTATATGCAACCTTTGTAGAATAGAAAAGGAAATAAACCGTTAATTACATTAATTACGTAAAGTGTATTTTACCCTAATTATATATTTTCTTTAATGCTCCCCATCAAGCTGGAGAATATATATCAATCCTCAGCTTGCCAATTATAAAGGTATCAAAATGTCAATAATGTTCCTGTTGATTTTAGAGGAAAAAAAATAATTTTATTTCTCCCATTTTAGATTGTTACACTTAGGGTATTTATAAAACTTTTAATTTAAAAATACAAAAAGTCTTATTGTACTATAATTCTATTTATAGGAGATAATTATTCTTATAGAATTCTAATTGCATAATATCAAATAATAAATTAAAATAATTAAATGATAAAATATGGTAGTCAACTCCTCCTCTCAAGTTGCTGCAGAGAGATTGGACATGTCTAATTTGCAGACCAAGTTCTGAAAAGTCATTTTGTAGTTTACCAGTGTCAATCATCTTCCTTGTTTGAAGATCCTGATTTTACTAGATTTGATGCACCTATAGCTGATGAAGAGTTAAATTGAGACAGAATACGCTTCAGGTTTTAAATTTTTTCGATTGAAAATGCTCAAACTGTTGGTGTATCAGATGTTTCACTTCCGCAACCAAATTTTTTTGAGTTCTTGTAGGTCCACATTTGCTTTTTTAAAGACTTCTAGTTAGTTTTTCGTACAACTTTCAATAAGTTTTCTAGTGTGTTTTGGCTTGTCACAGTAGTCAAACTTCCGTAGATCTTTGGATTGGTCAGAGTGAGTAATTAATTCAGCTTTTTCAACTAGTGCTATGTAACTCGTATCTAATCATATTCGGTGTCCAAATCACCATAATCCACCCAGTTTGAAAAAATATTGAGAAACAATTATCTCTTCTTGTCTTGTGCCATGAATCTTATTTCAGAGTTTATAAATTTGAGTATTATTATCGCGTGTGAGTATGTAAGAGATGATGCATTTCATATTTTTTCAACAATATCAAGCAACAGATATGTTCAGTCAATATAAGATTACATGAAATTAATGAGTTAGGACATTATCAAGGAGTTTTCAGAATCTCATCTGTTATATTCCAAATTAATTACATCAAATTTTTTCATATCATCTGCAATGTACGTCTGCAATTCTCTAATTTTGATAAATAATAAATAATATTTTGACTAACTAAGGTAATTATTTCCATCAAGTTTTACGAAATTAATTTGTAATAAGGGGTTATCCGAATAAAAAATCATCAATTTTTTGCTTTTGTCATTTTAGAGTCTTAGAAACAGGGAAAAATAATACCCAGTAAGGAAGAACAAACCTCTAATCAGCACAAAGGATGCCAAAAAAGTGTTGTAAATTAGAATTAGATTTGTTAGGCATCAGCTCCACTCGGGCTTGGCTCAAAACGACTCGATCTCAACTCAAAAATGGCTAGATCTCGGTTCAAACAAGGCTCAAAGTCGGCTCAAAAATAGCTCGAAATCGGTTTAAAACGGCTCAATGTCGATGTCCGCTAAAGAACAACTCAATCTTTGGTAAAAAAGAGCTCGAAATTGGCTTAAAAACGGCTCAATTTAGCTCAAAATGGCTCGGTCTCAGTTTGGAACTGCTTGGCTCCACTGAGTATCACACGAGCTCTCACACACTGCCGCACTGTCGCCGGACCACCACACGCCACCACAGATACCGCCACGCGGCATCGTGAACTTACTCGAACACCACAGAAACTCACTACTCGTCAGATTCGGCACAAATTTGGTGAGATCGCGCTAGGGAAAACCAGAAAACACTTTTGCACAGAATGGGTCGCGGCGGCTGGTTCTTCTTCTCTGGCCTGCACGTATTCTCTCTTCGGCTCTGGTTTCGCGCACAAACAGCTTCGTTTGTCCTCTCTCCAACCATCCTCACGTAGATCTGATCAGATGTGCCATGGAAAGTCGTTAGTGCGCTCTTGCCGGTTGGTGGCCGCTTGTGCGCGAATTTGGTCGCCAATCGTTCATCTCCTTTAAGCCGTTGCGTCCTCTTCCTCCCCGCAGACCTCCCGCAACAGTCATCGGAACCGGTTCCACTGCACAGATCTGGTTGCGCCGGAGACGTTTCGTCTTCTGGGAAGCCGCAACCACCGCCGCCTCTGTTTTCAAATGGTGATCGGAAATGGAAGAAAAAACACCAGATCTATTTTTCTTTGGCTCTCTCTCAGATCTGATACTAGGGTGGTGATGAGTGTAAATCTAGATGAGTGGGTACCAACCTAACCTATTGTGTTATTTTAGGGTTTGAAGGAAACCGTGAAATTAGAAGACTAAAGTAGCTTTATTTGGTTCTGTTACTATGTTGATTTTGGAGAAAAAAAAAATAATTTTATTTTTCATCTTTTAAATTGTTACATTTAGAGTATTTATAGAATTTCTAACTTAAAGATAAGAAAATTTTTATTCTATTAAAATTTTAGTTATAGGAGATAATTCTTCTCATCCAATTCTAATTATATAATATTAAATAATAAAATAAAATAAAATAATAAAATAATAAGATATACTAGTCAACATTTCTCAATCAAAAGTAAGTCCTAAAGAAAAGAGAGGACGACCTTAATCAAAAAGCTTAAGGAACCATGAGTCCTTCAATATATTGTTAGAAGTAGTGCATGTGTAAGTTAATTTGTTTAAGGATATAGTAGTAAAGTACTCTGTATCTAATTAATTAACGTTTCTTTTTCTGCATTAAGAATCATGTATAAGACCTTTTTTTTTTCCAATAATATTAATTCTATTCTACCGCA